GTTTTAACTGGGTTTCGGCATGCTGTGTACAGGGGTGTTTCTTAAAAACGGATAGTCCCAGAAAACCTTGCAGGAAAATGTCTGAGTTATTATCACTAAGCTCACTATTCTTTGAAGACGCTATTTTCTTACTACCAGTCTGGGGTACTGAAGCTTGAACTCGGGGTCTTGCACTTGTTACATAGATACTGTAATGAGATAAATGCCTCCCTCCCTTTTATGCACTTTTTTTTGAGTTGGGTCTTGCTTCGTGTCTGGGTGCCTGCCTGAACTGTAGTCCTATTTATCTGCTTCCTGCCACAGCTGGATGACAGGTGTGTGCCATCATCATGCCAAGCTATGGATTGAAAGATCACCTGTGCCTTTTTGCCTGGACTGTGGTGCTCTTGATCTCAGCCTGGAAACCAGCTAGGATTACAGCACAAGATTGACAGATGTGTGGACAGGGAAATTATTTAATTTTTTGGGGTCTGGTCATGGGGCCTGAACTCTGGGCCTGGGCGCTAGCACTCTACCAGTAGCGCCACAGTGCCACTTCTGGCTTTTTTTTTTTTTTTCTGCTTATGTGGTGCTGAGGAATCGAACCCAGGGCCTCATACATGCAAGGCAAGCACTCTACCACTGAGCCACCTTCCCAGCCCAGGGAAATTATTTTTAACCAACATCAAAAAGGGCTACTCAGAAGTGAAAGCCAGAAAGTAAACTGAAAGTACAGTTAAACTCTCCCAGCAAATCTTTTTTTGATGTCCCGTTACAAGATCAGGAGATATAGAAGGGGCTATCTACATCTTCCTTGTAAGTGATAAAAATCTGGGGACTCTACTGACTGGGTAGATTCAATGAAAACCATGTCTGACAAAAGAAGGCCCTGGAGGTATCTGGGTTGTAGATGAACCTCACCCATCCTTCCTATCTTCCTGTACCCAATTCTCCCTTCTTAACCTGGAATCTACGTCTGAATCCTGGAGATGGCTGAAGGCATACTGTCCTCGGGGCTGCCGTGTAATAAATGTCTTATTTGGCATATGGGGATTCTGCACTGGGGCCTGGGACCTATCATCCCAGTTTCAGTTCAGACGCCCAGAGGAAACCCAGGTAGGTAAGGGAAAGCCTTCTTCAGCTCGGTGGGCATACTGAAGGGTGGTCCTGTCCTGTGGGTCGAGTGACCCCCGAGGCCTTAGGCTCTGGGTGGTGGCATGCGCAAGGCCCCCCTTTACCCATCTGTGAAGTGCCTACATTTATAACACTTCAAAGGAAATCTGGAAGGTAGATTTTGACAGCCTTTTCCACATCTGGGTTTCTAACTTCAGCTTATTTCCTGACTTTGGGGTCTGGCCCTTTTGACATTGGCAGAAAATAATGTGACCGTAGCTCATCCATCTGCTCTGCGCCCGCAATTGCAGCTGCTTGGGAGGCAGTTCCAGGCCAGTTTGGACAAGGCTAGGGACACCTATCTCCAAAACACAGCACAAAGACGAAAGGGGTGTGGGTCAAGTGGGAGAGCTCCACTTCTGACAACACAGTTCTAAACAATTCTTAAACCACAATGGAGCCAGGTGCTGTGCTCACTCCCATAATAACCCTACTCAGGAGGATGAGACCTAAGGATCAGTTTGAAGCCAGCTGTGCCAGACAACTTTCAAATCCTATTAACCAGCAAAAAAGAGATGGAAGTGGGGTGTATCTCAAGTGGTACAGCACCATATATGTGGAAAAGGTCAAGCAAGAGCTCAAGGCCTTGAGATTAAGCTCCAGTACTGGCATGCGCACACACACACACACACACACACACACACACACACACACACACACACACAGAATCCAAGTAAATTACAAAACAAATTGGCATGTTCCTAAACAATCTTGGCTCAAATAGAAAGCCTTAAGGCAAACAATGAAGAGCTGATTTGAATGAAAAGGAAAACTTGGACATAATTAAAACAATGCTGAAATGCACTATATACATTAGAAATGGCCAAGGCGCTGGTGGCTCATGCCTGTAATCCCAGCTACTCAGGAGGCTGAGATCTGAAGATCAAGGTTGGAAGCCAGCCCATTTAGTAATCTGTGAAGCTCTTATCTCCAATTAATCATCAAAAAGCTGGAAGTAGAGGTGTGAATCAAGTGATGAGTGCTAGCCTTGAGCAAAAAAAGTTCAGGGAAGTCAGGCACCAGTAGCTCACTCCTGTAATCCCAGCTACTCAAGAGGCTGAGATCTGAGGATTGAGGTTGGAAGCCAGGACAATCAGAAAAATCCCCATGAGACTATTATCTCCAATAAACCACTCAAAAACCTCAAGTGGCGCTGTGGCTCAAGGGGTAGAGCACTCGCCTTGAGCATAAAGAGGCTCAGGAACAGCAACCAGTCCTCATGACAAAAAAAAGAAAGTTCAGGGACAATGAATGCCCAGGCCCTGAGTTCAAACCTCAGGACTCGCACAAAAAGAAGAAAAAAAAATTTTTGAACTTAATAATCTAAGTTCCTGTCTCAAGAAAACAGGGCTGTGAATATGGCTCAGTGGTAGAGACAGAGATAATGCGCATAGGGCTCTATGCACAGAACAACCAAACCAAACCAAACCAAACCAAAATAAATGGACAAAATCCTTCAGGAAACCCAAAGGAAGCAGATGGAGGAAAACAATAAAGAGCTGAAAAGTACAGTAAGAGAAAAACTAGAGAAACAAAAGAGGTACTTGGAACAGATAAATCAAATCACAAACATCAAGATCAACAAAGCATAGTCAGATTTATTACCAGGAGTGGACGATGCAATTTCAGGAATGAGGGACTACCACTACAGACCCTACAGGCGTCACAGAACAGCGAGCTGCTCTACACAGCTGACAACACAGACAAACACATGCACTCTGTGAACACAGCAAACCCTTCAATATGAAATGACGAGGATGTGAGTGCTTTCCTTTTTTCCTTTTTAATCTAGGTCTGATACCGAGACTTGAACTTGGTACCTCCCACCAAGTCTATCACTCATTGGCTAGCACTCTACAAACTGAGCTGTACCTCCAACTTCAATTCTTAATTCAAACTTGCACCCCCACCCCCAAACAAATGCAAAACCAAAGTCCCAGGCCAGATGCTCTGGATAATTCTACTAAACATTAAGAATATTAAGTTTACACAATTGTACCAAGAAAATGGAAGGGAATACTTCCTAATTTCTTTTATGAAGCCCAAATTGTGGAAAATAGGGTGTCTGAGCCTGGGTGAAAGTTACTCATACAATGAAATGACTTAACAGCTTACTGATGTGACAATGATAAAATCCTTGCACTTAGAAGTTCCCAAGATAAATGGAGTAGGCAAATAGAACATCAGGCCAGTGGTATCAAGTAGCAGGGGAAAAAGTAGACCCCAATAAAGTGCGCCAGAAAGCACATACCCAAGGAGCCAAGCTAATCACACAAATGTTTTATTATATCTGGTAAAAACATTATATATCCATGATAAAATATGCATACATAACACACACACACACACACACACACACACACACACACACACACACACACACACTTTCCCTTTAGGAGGACCTGGGTAAAGGACACACAGGATACATTGTTTTTGTTGTTTGTAAAGTGCATGCTGGGGACCGAATCCAGGGCCTCTGGAGTGCCAAACACACACTCCACACTGACTACACTCCTACCCCTCTCAGCATCATTGTCTATAAGTGTATGTGAACCTATAATGACTTTAAAACAAAAATGCTTAATTAAAAAAACAAAAAAAATCCCCAATTTTAATTTTAAGCCAGAAAAAGGTGAAGAAATTAAACTCACAGAACATGAAAAACATCAGACCAGATGGGCATAGTAAACAAACACAGAGAAAAGCCAATGAAGTTAAATTTTGGTTCTATGTACCTGGGCACCTCCTCTGGAATTTGTAAGAATTGCCAGCTATAGTTGGGCAACGGTGGCTCACGCCTGTCATCCTAGCTCCTTAGGAGGCTGAGATCTGAGGATCACGGTTCAAAGCCAGCCCAGGAAGGAAAGTCCATGAGCGTCCTCCAATTAACCACCAGAAAACCAGAAGTGGTGCTGTGGCTCAAGGGCAGCACCCAGGCCGAGTTCAAGCCCCATGACTGACCAAAAAAAAAAAAAAAAAAAAAGCCAGCTATTAATAAGGCATTTTTCTTGCAGTTGTAAAAAAAAATGGTTCTATGGAAAAGATTAATCCATAAAAATGAGAAGACATGCTGGGTGCCAGTGGCTCACACCTGTAATCCTCGTTACTCAGGAGCCTGAGATCTGAGGATCTTGGCCAGGGCAGGAAAGTCTGTGAGACTCTTATCTCCAATAAACCACCAGAAAACTGAAAGTAGCACTGTGGCTTAAGTGGTAGTGCTAGCCTTGAGCTGAACAACAGTGCCCAGGCCCAGAGTTTAAGCCCTACTATGGACAAAAAAAAAAAAAAAGTGCACTACAAAAATGAATGAAGTGAGCTACTAGATCTTGCAGACCTTAATAGGTAAACATTTTTATGTCAAGTTGGGCGCTGGTGGCCCATGTCTATAGTCTGAGCTACTATGGCTGTAATACTAGCTGAGAGATCTGAGGGTTGAGTTCAAGGCACTCAACACTGTCCTTGAAAAGATGTGTTTACTAAAGAATGTTCCCTTGCTTCCTTCCTCTGGGAAGCTTCTTCCTTAGCCTTCTCAGTCCACAATACCAGCTCACTGGAGTTCAGCTCTGTCTTCTGACTTTGTGGCTGGGAGATTCTATCAAGATTAGGGATGGTGTGGGAGACCAACGCTAGCAACTCCCTTAACAAGTCACCTTTATGCACAGGAATAACTCCCCAGCCTGCACGGAGGCCACAGAGGAGCTTCCCACGACACACCTGAGTGAAGATGGATGACAGGGTGGAAGTAGATGGGGCCATCACCTGTGATAAAGTCCTCCTAGGACTTTGTTACTGTTCTGGAAAGTTCCTTGAAAGAAAAGGACCAAAAGAAAGACTACTGCGGCAAGAACTTTACTGGTGACACCTGTTTAATAGGTCAAAGTAACTGTACAATTCATTATATTCTTCCTGAGAATAATTTATATCCCCCGACAAACTAAAGGGAGGGTATAGTTTTCAAAATTATCTAACAGAATGGATGGTGCAAGGACCGGACATCTGAAGAGAGCCAAGTCTCCTCGTTCCGCTGAGTGCTCTCCTGGGAAGACAGACGCAATGAAGGTTATAGCTCCAGTGCTGTAAAATAGTCAACATGGCTTTGATCTTTCTTATAAATTATATAAAAATGGAAAACAGGGATGGTTCTGGAACTTCTCAATGCAGTTTGGAGGTGCTCTGGTACAAAGCATTTCTGCTTCCAAGAGAAATTACATCGCTACAAAAACTGGCACATAATTCTGGTGAAAAAGACAAGTTTAGTTATGTCCTACAGCTAGTTCCCAACCCAATGCTTCAATATCCACATGAAAGTAAAAGGTGGAAGATAAGAAGGTGGTAGTTTTCTTCTCAAACAACTTGAGTCTTCAAAATATAGCTCTTCTTTTCTTTGTCTGCAACTGGGATTAGCATATTGCAGCAGTGTTCCATCCACCCAGTAATGATGGAAGGGTCGCCAGCCCCGTTTTCCCCGCTCTTCCCCTCTCTTGCAGGGGAGGTGGTCAGGAGTTAACATGCCGCTCCACGAAAACGCACCCGAATGCTAACAGCAACTGTTTTCATGGTTCTTGAAAGCTTCTCAACGTGCCATTTTCACTCTCAGGAAAATGACACATCTCGAATCCTAGACTTTCTTCAATTTTTTAAATTAAACAAATCCAAATCAAAATGTGGTTAAACTTATGAGGGATTTCCAACTAGCTGTGAGTGCTGGCAATCGAGGACACGGTTCATTCCTCGCTGCTGGTGGAAGGCCAGAGAACTCCTGTGGGGCAGATGTGCTCGCCGGCAGCTCAGTGAGGCCTCGTCTGTCCTAGCGTTTTCAGCCTCGCTTGGTCAATGACATCCAGCAGGTTCTTGGCATCCACAGCCAGGGCGTGGGCAGCCGTCAGCATCTGCTTCTTGTACTCCTGCTGCAGGCTGGTCATGACATATTGCTGTGCCAGCTTCATCTTGCCAATGAGCTCGCCCAGGTCGGAGTTGAGCAGCTTCTGCGCCATCTCAATCTGGAAGGACAAGAGAGGGTCAGGAGGGCTGCTTCCAGCAATCCTCACGTACCTTTCTCTGGGCAGTTTCATAATCCTCCTTGGAAGATACAGGTGGCCACACCAGCCTTCCTTCAGAAACTCAGCCAGCGTGGCAGTCGTGGGCCCACTCTTGTTTGCTGTCTAACTCAGCGTTCAGCAGGACTTTCCTCCTCCCAAAGTAGAATCACAGAACCAACATATCTCCGAGATCTCACTTCAGCATGGACCACTGAGGCACAGAGTGACCTGCTGGAGGTCCCAGTGCCAGCTCAGCTCTAGCCTGGAACAAATGCCACGCTCTGGAGTTCCTATCTCATGTCATGTCTCCTATGCCAACTATGCGGAGGAATGTCAGGGGTCACCTATGTCCCACCGGGATGTGAATGGCCACGAAGGCCCAGTGTGGCCAGCAGGGTCAGTGTGCTAGGTGTGCTGCTCAACTAATTTCACCATTTAGCAATCCTTGAACAGCCAGTGTGCATGACGCACTTTGTGCTGTGCACAACCAAGCTGGGAGAAGCAGGTGCAGAGCCACCTGCAACCCACTACAAGTCACACACACAATGTACAGAGAAGAGGGACCCTCATTCTGTCTCAGAAGGACTCCACAGAAGAGTTAGACTTTTGCTTAGACTGTCCAGGTGGACCAGCTTCAACCTTGAAGGCCTTGTGGGCCATGCCAAGGTCACCTTTGTCTGCTAATGTGGCACAGACCGTAGGTGAGCTTTTTAGACCTGTTCTGGAGGTGGTGGGGGGCCAAGTGGGAGGCTGTGAGGACGAGGACCCCGAGACCCCATGGTGCACACAGGTGGCAGCTGTATGGTGGTGCCACTGTGAAGGGAAATGAAGAGCTGTGCAGAGCTGGGCGGTGGCGCAGTCCTGACCGCAGGGCTGGCAAGGGGGCGAGCTGCCAAGGTGAAGTCTTCCTTGAAAAACAGGTGAGCCCCCTGAAGGACAAGCACACTCAGGGCAGGAGCAAAGAGGTGGGAGGGGCCTGTGGAGAGGGCGTGGGGCAGGTGCTGACCCTGTGGCATCAGGTAGCCCTGGATATTGTGAGGGCTGGCCACTGCCACGACTCCACCTGGTTCACCAGGGAAGCCAGGGTTGCAGTGGGAGGCACACAGCGTGTGTGGCAGCCATGGGGCTGCACAGTAAAGAGCAGTGATGTGTTCGAGGCTGGGAGGGTGGGACACGCAGCCTGTTCACAAAACCTTCCATGAAAGGCAGAATGCAAATGTGGCAAAATGCTCACAAGTGGAGATACTGAAAAATGACACCTAAGCTGAATGCCGGTGGCTCACACCTGTAATCATAGCTACTCTGGAGATCCGAGGATTTCAGTTTAAAGCCAGGCTGAGCAGGAAAGTCTGTGAGACGCTTATCTCTAATGAACCACCAGAAAACTGGAAGTGGTGCTGTGGCTCAAGTGGTAGAATGCTCGCCTTGAGCTGAAGAGCTTAGAGACAGTGCCCAGGCTGAGTTCAAGCCCCACGAACAACAAAGTAATAAAAAATAAAAAAAAATGATGCCTAGAGTTCTTTGTATTATTCTTTCAGTTTTTCTGCAGCCTTCAATTGCTTTCAAAACAAACAGTAAAAAACAAGAAGCCTGTGTGGGCTGGGCTGAAGGATGATACGCTGCACTCAGAGAAGGGGGAAGGGGAAGGGGCATGGAACAGCAAGGCTGGGCCCCGCAGAGGCTCCCCACAGCGCGGGCCTGCTGGACGGGCTGAGGCACAGTGACCACACGCAGGGACTAAGCTCAGGTTCTACATGCAGGACTCCATACAGGGATTATACGCTGGACTCCAGGCAGCGACTACATGTAGGACTCCCTGTAGGGACTATGTGGAGGGCCACCTGCTGTTTGTGAACTGCCTAGGAGGCTACAGTGCCAAAGGTGGCAAAAAAAAAAAAAATGGCAACTGCTGCTGGGAGACAGCATGTTGGGTGACCTTTGGTTTCTAAGAATCTTTATTTTTTATCCCTCTCCCCCTCCCCGCCCCAGTGTATTTATCTATCTATATATCTCTGCATGCTGACCCTGGGGACTGAACTCAGGTTCTGGGTGGGGTCCCTGAGCTTTTTTGCTCAAGGCGAGTTCTCTATGATTTGAGCTGCAGCTCTAGTTTTTGGTTTTGGTGATTAATTGGAGATAAGTCTCACAGACTTTCTTATCCTGGGCTGGCTTTTGAAGCTGAGATCCTTTTTGACTGAGATTCTTTCATCTCAGCCTCCTGAGTAGCGAGGATTACAGACGTGAGCACAGGTGCCAGCCTTCCAAGAATTTTTAGATACTTATCACTGCTTTCAAGGGGGAATCGGTGACATCTGCAAACATGATGTCAGGAGCACTGAAGTACTGGCCTAGCCATCTGGGTACCGCCAGCAGTTCCCTGGGCTCCTAGCCACTCTGCATTCCAGGTGAATGCTATGCCTGGTAGCTTTAAAAGCAGAGCAGGTGCTGCTCCCGCACTCTGCTGGCCAAACGCAGCTGGGGCCAGTGTCAGGGAGAGGTTATCTCCAGCCTCTGCTGGGCAGCTCTCAGCAGCAGGTGCTGTGATTTGGACATGAAGTGTCTGCTCAAAACGCTGTCTGGCTAATGTGTTCATGTGGAGGGCGCTAGGCTATTGGGTGCGTGGCATACCTTTCAAGGGGCCTCTGTCCCCACACTCTTCTCTCTGCTCACAGGCTGCTCTAAGTCAAGCAGCTCAGCTCCACCACTGTTCTCAGCTGATGTTCTCTCTCATCACAGCCCAGAAATTACACAGCCAAGCAGCCATGGGCTTACCTCAAAACCGCAAGCCCCAAGTTATTATCCCAGGTATTTTGTCAGGATGACAGACTCTCTAATTCAGCATCCCAGCCTCCCTGAGTTACCCATATCCCCGTCTGACCACATACCCCACTGTGCCCTACCTCTCGGTGCGTGCTGGCTGGCAGGCCAGGAATGGTTTCATCCACAGTGGCCAGTAATGTCCGCAGGGCCAAGCCAACCTCCTGCCAGACAAGAATCACAGCCAGTGTTACAGTACACAACATGCAGGGCTTTGCCTTCTCCTCGCCTGGTTTCAAGCAGATGTGTGTGCCCTTGTTTCCACCAGGCTGGCCTGTCAACTCAGGTTGGAACAAATGACACTCCTCTCCTCCCATGGGCGCATCCCACTGCCCTGGGCAAAGTAGGTCTTGCTCTGGAGCCCATGTGGGACCAGCCATGAAAAGGACACAACTACAATCAGTTTTTAATTTCATAACCATAAATTGTAAATTAAGTCATAATCTTCAATTTCAGCTTTGATTATTGTCACTTTTATGAGGATGAAATATGTAATGACCAAGACACTAAGTTAAATATTCTAATAAGATGACACTTTCTCTGGATTAGCATACAAAAGATGTCATGCTCTATTCCTGAAGCTACATCCCCTTAAATCATTGTATGTGTGTGTGTGTGTGAGAAAGAGAGGGGCGAGGGGGGGGGGAGGGGAGAGAGAGAGAGAGAGAGAATGTGTCCTAGGGTCTGGGTGCTGTCCCTGAGATTTTTTTTTTTTTTGCAAATGGTTAATGGTTTACTATTTGAGCCAAAGCTCCACTTCTTTTTTGGTGATTAATTGGAGACAAAGGTCTCACAGACTTTCCTGCGCAGCATTAGCTTTGAACTGCAACCCTCAGATCTCAATCTACCGAGTAGCTAGGATTACAGGCGTGAGTCACTAGTGCCCACATTGTCCATTAATTCTTTTGTAGCTGGACTTTTTTTCCTTTTTAAACTGAAGATGGGATTTGTGAGCAGTGATTACAGAAGACTCAACACTGATTCAGGAAATTCCCATCCTAGTAGGAAAACAAGTGAAGCAGCAGAGTGATTCTTATCTTCATAGGAAGGCTTACCACCTCAAGCCTCAGGCCTGACTTTGGGTGCCTCATGATGCTTACCAACTGTCTCTCTGAATGCCCCATTGAGTGTGCATGCATTACCTTCACCATGGGGACGTACTCCTCCGGTGGGGCTGGCTGGATTTTGCTGGACATCTCAATCACGGCTTTCACCAGGCCCGTCACGTTCTCATATACCTTGTCATTGGACCTGTCCAGGTTGGCAGTGGGAGGGGGACTGATTTCCTGGGGCTGAAGCTGACAAGACAAAACAGAAGCCCATCATTTCTCTACTCTCCAGCAGGTGGCGAGGTATCACAATAATGTTAGAGGGTCTTTATGGATTTTGTCTGTGCAGAATACTGTCATCTAAGGACGACAGTAAGGGATTCATCCAAGTGATAAATACATGAGGCAGTGATTTTTACTTTGAGATCAGGTAAAGGAAAGTAGGTGGCATGTACCCACTACAGCAAAATACCCAGATGATTTCAAAGAAGTGATTCTACATCTCAGACCCCCAAATCACTCACCATAAGAGAAACAATCCATTCAATTACCTCTGAGAGTTAATCAAATTTTAGTGGAAGCTAGTTACTTGCTAAATGATCAAATATGCTACATTAATATGAAACACTTCTATTTGAGTTCCACAGTAAAAATGTGGCTCAGTCAATTGCCTACAAACCATCTGACAGGACAGAACATGGCTTCAAGATGATAAAAGTGGGGACACACAGCTCTAAGGGGAGATAGTCTGCTTGCAGAAAGCTACTCAAGTCCAAGGAGTGGGGGTGGGGGTTCCAGCCAGCTCTCTGCTGACTGCTGAGTAAACCTGCAGGCCTCAGCTCCCTCCCTAAGCAGCCGTGAAGAAGGGCTCATGAAGCCCCAGATGCAAATATGCTCACCAGGGCCTGGGCACTGAGATGACAAATGTTAGCCATGATAATGACATAGGGCCTCTGGATGTTCCACAGTGTTTAAAAATGCAAGTTGGTTAGGACTCCACTAGGTCTAGAACCATAGCCTAACAGCCATCATGATCATGGGCCTGCTGTTGGTACTCAGGCTAAGCCTGCAAGTGCCCATTCTGAACTTGTAGTACTCTGGTCCAGGTAGACCACACTCAGTTCAAGTGGGTCAAGAGTAACTCATTCACTATGAAGATGCTCACGACTCTGTCTCCGGAAAACACACATGGTGTTTTGGTGAGGAACAAGGCAGGGGTACCCTCCCACTGGGATCCCACATACTAGCCTAGAGTTGCATGCACAGAGTGGGATGTGATTCAGAGAGATAGACAGACACACAGACACAACGTGCTTACCCTCCATGGCTATTGTCGAACGGAAGGTGAGGAAAAGTTAAAGGAATTTATCAGAGAAAGGGAAAAAAGAAAAACAATATTAATAAGGCAGCAGATAATTCCTGTACAATACATAAGCAGGACACCCAGAACCTAGCTGCAAGCCTGACCTGCACACTCAGCTCACTGGCCATGAGAGCCGCGTGTCCGCCTCTGTGCCCCGCCATGCACCTTGCTTGTTGCATAAGATAATGAGCAGGACTGCATGCAAAGCCTTGGAGGGGCAATCAGCAGGCGTGCAAGAGTCAGGAGAATAAGGCTTGTCATGAGAGAGAACACATTCAGTCACCAGACTTCCTGTGGAGAAACTGCTCAACACTCAGCTCCGGCCCGCACTGTGCCCCTGAAGTCTCTGTCTCCATGGGCAACCAGTGGCTCCCACCCTAAGACAGACAAACTCCAGGCTGGGGTTTGTCTCAAGACCTCAGAAGCTTATAGTTAGAAACAAAGTGTAAAAAAAGTAGTGAGGATTGAACTCAGGGAGGCATGCAAGCCTGCTACTACTTGGGCCACTCCCTAGTCCTTTTGTTAGTTCGATTGCTTTTCAGATAGGGTTTCATCTTCACTTGGTCCTCTAATCTGGGACGGGACTGTGGATCCTACCTCCCCTTCCTAAGTAGTTAGGATCACTTCTCTGTGACACTATCTGTCTTGAGGTAACTCAGGCCAGCCTCAAAATCTCAATCCTCTGTCTCTGTCTCCTGAGGTAAGGTTTGCTATGTAGCTCAGACTGGCCTTGAACCTGTGACTTCTGCCTATGCCTACCAAGGACTGAGATCACACGCTTGTACTACCATCGCTGGCTTTAAAACCCACCTTTTGAGCTAGTTCTTTTACAGGTGTATTCCACCACTTTAAACTGACAAGTTTATTTATTTATTATTTTTGTGTGCTCGTACTGAGGCTTGAACTCAGTCATGGCTTCACACTCTTGGTTTAACTTTTTCATTTAAGGCTGGCTCTCTACCAATTAAGCTACACTTCCACTTCCAGCTTTTTGCTAGTTAACTCTAAGGTTCTCACAGATTTGTCTGCCTAAACTAGCTTTAAACTATGATCCTCAGATCTCAGCCTCCTGAATAGCTGGGATTATAGGTGGTTATTACTGCCATTTTTTTCCTCCTCCAAACCCGAGCCCTGGCCGTGTTACTATAATAGGTCAAACAGTCAATAGGGAACCAGCACAGCACCCTCTCTCCTGTCCTTGAGACAATTTCAAAGGAAACAACTCTTGGCATATAAGCAACAGCATCTTCAGTTCAGAAGTACAGGCCTCTGGTGTGTTCTTCCCAAGAGCCCACTTATTGTACTTTATTCTCTGCTCTGAGTCATGGAGCCTCTGTGTTTGGAAATTCAGGTCTCACCAACACAGAAGGAGCAGCTTCCTGGGAGTGTTAGGGAGCAAGTGTCCCTCCACAGTCCCACCAATCCCCCAATGCCATGGCGAGGGAAGGCTTAAAGCTTTGCTTCCCGCATGAACTGTGACCCTTCGCTCCACTCTCTTACAGTGGGCACTTACAGGGATGCCCACAAGCCAGAGCTTAGTTGGAAAAGCATCTATACTGGGTTCTTGTTTCCTAGAGTGTGACACCTTGGGATTCCTTGGCTGGCAGTCAGTGAGAAGCTATCACCCTCCACAGACAGCCAGTTCCAAATAAACCACTTAGGTTGATGTTTGAAGACTAGCCAGCCTGGAGGTGTGGCTCAGTGGCAGAGAGCTTGCCTAACTTGTACAACTTCTTGGGTCACTCCCTAGCACTGAGGGGTGAGGTGAGGGACCTCCAACAACCAAAAAGACCCTAAATAGCCTGTCGTTAGCCACTAAGGAGGATGAGTCTGAAGACGGTGGTTCATAGCTAGCCTAGGCACACCAATCTGCAAGACTCTTATTTGAAGTTAGCTGCAAAAAGCTAGAAGTAGAGGCATGACTTAAGTGGCAGAGTGCCAGCCGTAAGTAAAAAGTCAAGAGACAGCATGAGGAACAGATTTCAAGTCCCAGTACTGGCAAGAAAATTAAAAAAAAAGAAAAACTCCAAACAAGAAAAACAAAATGGACTATTTCTACCTGCCTGGATAAATTATTTTTCTTTTAGGCTGCGAAATAGCCTCAACTAAATGACAGAAAATGGAGAAATAAAGGCATATACTTCACATTATTTAAAAAACCTTACTCAATATATTTCAAACAAATATCACCTTATTTTTCAATCTTCATTTGTTATGTTTGAAACAAGTACACTGTATCCCTAAGATTTCTGCTTGCTTAATATCCTACGTTAAGAGGATTCCTAATTATACGGATCATTTACATTCTAATTGTGAAATCAATTGTACTTAAACTGTGAGGAACGAACGAACATTATGTCTTAATTCCACCATGGTGCCTTACCTACCTCACAAATTGGTTTGTCATGATTATACAAGCCATTTTGAAAGTTGACTCTTGTGCTTAAGAAAAGGCAAAAATGTCCATTCACTTCATTTCTCCACTGGGTTTCCTGGAGCTGAGGGCAAGCCTGTAAGGGCTCTGGGCCCCCTGCAATAACAGGGTACCTCCAGCTCAGCTGTGCTAGTCTAGTCCATGCCAGGCCAGCTGGGGCATGCTCTGCTCACCTCCTGGACAGACTGTGCATTGGCAGGATGGCAGCTGGGGCATGCTCTGATTCCCAAGAGGATCCCATGTCCACACTGACCACACGTCACCCTGTTGCTCTGGAGATGGATGCCTTAAGCAGAGGCACAAGGCGGGCAGTCTGTGCATGGCTCAGTGACCCTGGACCTCTGTGAGCCTTGGCCAACTTTGTGGGTGGAAAATATAATTGCCACCACTGTGAGGCTGACGTGGGGATTTACAGTATTGATGGAGAATGTCTGTCACAGCATGCGGTACAGAGAAGGCATTCCATAAATGAATATTTGAAAACAAAGCTATCTAACTTGGCTTTACTCTTATGATTTAAGATGCCTTTCATATAATATATACCTCATTTCCTGTTTCTGCTTTAGTCAGGGTAGATTATTCAGCTCAAACTGGCCTTGAACTCCTGATGCGCCTGCCATGAGTACTGCCATGTATAGCTGATATACTTTTGTTTGGGCTTGAACTCTGGGCCTAGGCACTGTCCCCAGCTCTTCAGCTCAAGGCTAGTGCTCTACCTCTTGAGCCACAGCACCACTTCTGGTTTTCTGGTGGTTTACTGGAGATAAGAATTTCACAAGGCTGGGAAGGTGGCTCAGTGGTAGAGCGCTTGCCTTGCATGCCTGAGGCACTGGGTTCGATTCCCCAGCACCACATAAGCAAAAAGAAAAAAGCCGGAAGTGGCGCTGTGGCTCAAGTGGTAGAACGCTAGCCTTGAGCTGAAGA